TGGTAAGAATAGATTTGGAAAGCTAATTAACACACTCAGAGTCAGATAGCTGTAAGTATGGCAAGTCATGGAGCTAGAAGTTCAACCCAGTCTGTCTTATTCCAAAATCTATTTTTCTAACTGCTGTACCTTGCTGCCTTTTTTATCATTGTTCAAAACTAAGCTTTCTTACACATTGAAATTTTCAGTTTGCTGTGTTATGAATACCTCACAGTCCAATTCCTGCCACATAATGTCAATATAAAAATCAGATGATCGGCTGATAATAGTAATAGTAGCTAACATTTACTGAGTAATTAATAGTCTGTATTATGTGTTTCAATATGCAATCTTTAATATTTATAACTACCACTTGAAGAAGTAGTAATTGCTCTTACCTCCATTCTACAGATGAAGAAACTTAGCCTAAAGGAGGCAAATATGTTGTATATAACTAGCAACTAGTAGAGTTATGATTCAAATCCAGGTGTGTCTGATTCTGAAGCTCTTTACCACTTTACTGTTTTGCCCTTTGTTGTCATGAAGCTATATATTGTTTAGTAATTCTTATGATGAGAAAAACATATCCCAAGAACTGAGAGAGACATTTCCAGACCTGAAATTATCTAAATACCCTGACAGGTAATTGCTAGTAAACCAAAATTCCTCAAACCAAGATTTTATGGGCTTCATATTTATGCTCAACTCAAGATTCAGGTTAAGGTGACTTGAAAGCTTAAGATGCCCTGGGGTAGGTGGCATGGCCCAATGATTTGGAGTTTTACTCATCTTTAAATGTATGGGTACAAATTACATACAGCTATGTATCTCCTTACTCTTCAAGATAACTGAGCTATGATAGTTAGCTGAACAGCTGTGTCCTTCTTTGCTTTCCTGCCTTCAGATAAGCCGGTTTTTATAACCCAGAATGTTCCTTGTCTTCTCCACTCACAAACCTTTTAATATAGTACTTGAAAGAGTCTGGCCCTAGTGGCTCTCTCTGAGAGTCAGCTTAGGGTAGTGGTTAAGAAAGGGAACCTGGAGCCAGACTGCCTGGGCTCAGATCTCCTTCTAGGTATGACTTTATTTAGCTTCTTAACCTTTTTGTTCTTCAGTTTCCTCATGTGTGAAATTGGGATAATAATAATAATAATAATAAATTTCACAGAGGGTTGTCATAAGAATTAATTGAGTAATTTTTGAAAATATGTAGATTGATGTCTGGAATAAAGTAAGAGCTGCATAAGTACTTACCAAATAAATTTTTAAAAAATAAGGCTTTCACTGATAACAGGTATAACTGATAACTGATAACCCTGATCAGTGTGCTCTCTTTGTCCCCTATTTCCTGATGCACTAGATTCAACTCCTAGGGCACTTACCACATTGCCTTTTCTAATAATTACTTATTTGTATACCTTTTTACTTATACTAGATTTTAAGCTTCTTGCGAAGAGACAACTTCTTCCATTGCTTCAGGTTATTGTTCAATAAGACTCATGCATAAGTGAACCAACGACTCTCTAGAGGCAGGTAAGTGACTTCCATTTCCTTCCGTCCAAGAGAACATTGCTGATGATTGCAACACCATTACATCATCTGTCTCAATAAGATGGCAGTTCAGGGCTTCCCTGGTGGCGCAGTGGTTCAGAGTCCGCCTGCCAATGCAGGGGACACGGATTCGTGCCCTGGTCTGGGAGGATCCCGCATGCCGCGGAGCGGCTGGGCCTGTGGGCCATGGCCGCTGAGCCTGCATGTCTGGAGCCTGTGCTCCGCAGCGGGAGAGACCACAGCAGTGAGAGGCCCACGTACCGCAAAAAAAAAAAAATGGCAGTTCACACTAGTGGAAATTGTTACCTTCTGATATGATCATTTGGTGCCTTCTGTGTATGTGGTAGGTGAAACAATGTTCTTACAAAGTTGTCCGTGTTCTAATCCCAGAACCTGTGGATATGTTACCTTACCCAGCAAAGGGACTCTGCAGATGTAATTATATTAAGGATTTTAAGATGGAGAGATTATTCTGGCTTTTTCAGGTGGGTCCATTGTAATCACAAGTGTCCTTTGAAGAAGGAGATAATGGAAGCAGAGGTCCTAGTGGTGCCATTGCTGGAGGGGAGGCTGTGAGCCAAGAGATGTGGACAGCTCTCTTGGTAAAGGAAAGGAATGGATTCTCCCTTAGTTCCTCCAAAAGAGCTGACACATTGCTGTCAAGACCTCTGGCCTCCAGAATTGTAGGTCAAATTACGTTATTTTTAGTTTGTGTTATTTTAAACCACTAAGTTTGTGGGTGCAGCAGCCATAGGAGACTAATCAAATCTACTTCCCGGAATGAAAGATAATGAAAATAAAAGATAAAAATAAAGGAAAGAACAAAAGAATGATGGAACAAAGGATGCTTTACTACAAATTACACCTTTGTAGTTATTATGAGTAAGAACCAATAACTGAATAGACAATTAATCATCACAAATTATAGTGGGCAGAAAATAAAACATCCATTGTTGGGAACAAAATTTAAAACAAGTACATTAGTTTTAAATGTACTTGGAAGTTGGTCAGAGTTTTTATGGAAGTTCCTTTATCACGAGCAAGGCATTGTAAGAAGGAAAAAAACCCTGAATCAATACTGTAATTCAATTTAAAAATGGAAGAATCACAACCAAGTACAGAGTTTCTTTTTATAAACCCAATCTTAGAAATGATGAGTAAAAATTTTTAAACTTATTCTCTCCGAAGCTACAATATGTAGTTCTTTCCACCATGTTTCCCTTCCCTCACTCTTTCATTTCCACTCCCTGATTCTGCTTCCAACCAGAAGCAGTTGCATGTAGGGTAGTCATGAGGGGAGAGTAAACAAAAGGGCAATGGCAGAGATGATACTGTCAATCTCGTTTTAATAAAGAGTCTACAGAGGGGCTTCCCTGGTGGCGCGGTGGTTGGGAGTCCGCCTGCCGATGCAGGAGACGCGGGTTTGTGCCCCGGTCCGGGAGGATCCCACATGCCGCGGAGCGGCTGGGCTCGTGAGCCATGGCCACTGAGGCTGTGCGTCCGGAGCCTGTGCTCTGCAACGGGAGAGGCCACAACAGTGAGAGGCCCGCATACCGCAAAAAAAAAAAAAAAAAAAAAGAGTCTACAGAAATGCTGAACAGAAGCTTTAATAGCATTTCTGGCAATAACCACCCCTGTTCCCCATGTATTTTGAATCAGATTTAATTTGAATTAAATAGAAATAAAAACTCTTTACCATTGCACCCTAATGACTGTAATTTTCTCTCAAGCTGTTACTTATACAGTATGCTGCACCTTGGAAAGAACATTCTTAATCCTTTTCTAATTGAGTCTCAAGGCTAATGTCTTTATTTAAAAAACTCACTTATTTTTGAAGGCTGAACTTTAATACTGTGAATTAATATGACATATAAGCCTTTCTGGATTTTCCACAAGAAGAGAAATACCTAACTTAGATGTCTTCCTTTAGTTACAATAATTCTAGCCAGTCTAATGATACCACCCAGTTTGTCCTTTTGAGGGCTGTAATACTCCTGTCAGCAGCTCCGTTGGAGCATTTAACTCACCAGATATCTGTAACCCTGATTGCCAGAGCCAAAAATGTCTCCAGTATGACTTCAAGTAGTTCAACTCTCTGGTGCCAGATGGTATGCAAATAGAACCCTTCTCACAGATACAGATGTCACCGTGCGCAGAGCTTGTGCGAGTATCTATATCTACTCCTGCTGGGAATATAATTTGGTAGAAAAACTCTTTGGCCGACCTGCCTATGATCTGTAGACTATAGACTCATTCCCAGATGACAGCTTTAATATGTACTTTCCTATTAATCAAAAATGAAAAAGAACCCAAATTCAAAATTAGGGATGAACATATATTTTTGAAGCTGGATCTAAGGAGAGACTTGATAAAAAATTTAGAAAGATTACTAAAAAGGAATATCACCGAATGAGAGATCTAATTTGCCATCTCCTCCTTCCCTCATTGTAAATGCTGCCAAGGAGAATACCAAACTGTTTACAACTAATGGAGTGAGGGAACTTGTTTGCATCCATGCATCAGTTCCTTGATCTAAAGGAATGCAGTAATGAATAGAAGGAATATCAGTGTCAAGAAAAGTATCTGAATTAGGTAAGAGTCAGTTTTCAGAATGAATAACTGAATCCAAACCCTATATCCAGAGTTTTCCATTGTTAATATCTGAGCAGTTTTTAAGGACTTTTCTTTGGTTCCAATGCTACCCCTTGGGGTGGTAGAGTAGGATTATTTTTCTGTTTTTATGCAGTTTTAGATCATCCCATAACCTAACTTATTCACTTGATCATATATTCAAAGATTTGAAGAAAATTTTAGCCTATGACACTTCGGAAGATAAATCTGCTTTAAAATAAAATTATTTATAATTTTACAGCCCAATAAAAAATTTAAAATTGTTTGTGATTTAAAAGTGTCCATACCACTATCCTTTTTATTAGAAAAACATATAAAATCTGAAAGTATTTTATATACTCAAGTATAATCTTAGGAGTGAAATGTAAGGCTATGGAGAAGCAGGATATATATTTTCTATGTTCTTTTCATTGCTGTAGTTGTGCTGGACTTCAGTCTTTAGCATGGGCAAATAGAATGATATAGTTTTTTGCTTTTGCCATGTTATACAGTTTGTCAGGTTTAACCAAATATTGTCAGGTAATTTAACCAGATTATTGGTATACCAACAAAATATTTTTAGAAATCAGCCTAGAGAAAACCCGAAACTATACCCTAGAGCTCAGCCAGTTGGTTGGTTTGTAGATATCTCTTTGTAGAATTGGTGTATTTGTTTGAATTTCAATTTGAGGTAGAGTATTTAATGTCTAGGAAATAATGAAAAACTATTTTTGCATGTAAACCCTAAATGTGGTGCTATTCTTATAAAGAAAATGTCTAAGAAGAATGAGCTCAATATCTTTAAAAATTTTATAAGCAAACCCACTGTTCTTTAAGAGTTTAAAATACTGCATCAGGGACTTCCCTGGTGGTCCAGTGGTTAATACTTTGCCTTACAATGCAGAGGCTGCGAGTTTGATTCCTGGTCAGGGAGCTAAGATCCCACATGCCTCATGGCCAAAAAAACCAAAACATAAAACAGAAGCAATATTGTAACAATTCCAATAATGACTTTAAAAATGGCCCACATTAAAAAAAAAATCTTCAGAATACTGCATCAGTGACACAAATGAGCTACTAAATAAAGTGCATTTTTTTAACAACAAACCCGATTTAATAAAATAAGTCTCAATTAAGCAGGAGGTTAAAGGTTAAAATATTTAACTAAGGTGATTCTACTGATGGATGAGGTAGACAAACTGGGATTTAAGACTAGTTCCATCAGACTCATGGCAAATTATTTGATCTCATCGTAAAGCTGTGGGAACTCTTAACAGCCTTAATTTACTTACCTGCAAATTGTAGCTACCAGGAGGAATTGCTAGATACCGGTATAGTGTTTGCTTCATGGTAGGTCTCAGTGATTTTTAGATATGATAATGATGCTTAGTATCAATATTATAATATCTAATAACACTACATCTATACCAAATTCTTTTGTGCATTTAACTTTAATAGACTACTCTTTCCATTTTGAAATGTTATCTTTTTAATGATCTTATAAAATCTTCACTGATTTTTTTATTCAACTTGTTATAACCTTTTTTTTTTTTTTTTTTTTTTTTGCTTTTTCTGCCTATTTGCCACATGTTTTTCATGATGTGTGGAATCCCTATGATACGAGATGAATATCCAGTTACTACGTTTTTCATTAGGCCTTGGGCAACTCTGGCTGAAAATACTTATAAATGTATGTTACAATTTCACTTCCTACATCTTCTTACTTTTATTTTTCACTTCAGTGCCCTATATTTCAGTACAGTATAGTTTTAATGTGCTGTCTCTTTATTGTTCCTTGGTGAAAACTGAATTTTATTAAGCCCAAGCTCTAATTCTCATCAAGTTATCCTATAACTGTGAGTTATATGCATGAGTCTATGAATATAAAAGAGAAAGTTCATTCTAATCTAAAGCATACAGATTGATCTTATTATCAACAATACATAATAGAGACTTATTATTCTTCAATTTGCCTAGCGTCTTGCACAGGGCCATCATCAATATAAACCAAGTTCAAGGCATAATGCTTGCTTTCAAGAAGTCGGAATAACTAGTTCAATTCTTTCACCCCAGTATTCCCTATCAGATTTACAGTGTTACTTATTTTAAAACACTACTGACATCACCATCAACAAAAATACTAGAATTTATTTTTGTAAAAAAATGTGGGAAAACAATTTTAAAAACAGAATTTAATTTAAAAATTTAGTCAATATGATGTGTTTATTACATTCAGAGGGCTGATCCCCTATAAAGTTGCCGTAAGTCTCTTTGGTCATCTGATTTTAAGGCAGTGATTTGTAGTAAATATTAGTGTGTATAGGAGTCCGAGCCCCCTTCTCCCACCCATCCTCTGCCATTTCAAGAAAGGCGATACTGTCATGTTCTGTTAGAAAACTGAGAAGAAGATCTCTGTTGTTTTTGCACCATTAATTTATAATAATATAGAAGAGTATCTATTTCTCAATCTGTGTGCCTCTCCACCTTCTGTGTAAGTGCTATTGTATTAAAAATTGAGGCATATGGAGGAGGCTGTAGTAAATCAGTAGAGGTAATGTTTTCTGTGCCTCTTAAAATCATGTAATTATGATTCAAATCCTTCACAGCTCATGTATAGTAAAGATAGGCTCTGCACATCTATATTGGCATTTAAACAAATAAATGTTTATGACTCTGCAGGTTGGAAAGAAATTTCAACCAGTTAATGTAGACCTTGTGGGAAAAATCCCTTTTAAACACAATTATTGCTGGAAAACAGGATTTACACTTAAGCCATTTTTTCTGTTGCCTTAAGATAGTATGCAAAACATTTGAAAGGAGTGATGCTTTTAGTTTGACTATTTCATTATTATTATTGTTCTTAGTTTGCGGGACAGCACTGAAGATAAGGGGCCTTTGTAAAGTACAGTAAAAGTCGAGTCCTTCACTACATGTCATTTTTATTTTAGCATCTTGTTCTATATTTCCTCTCAGGGAGACAAGGATACTACATAAACAAAATTTATCAAAATCCTAAGATTGTGTGCTTGTTGGAGGAAAGGAATGGCAGTGATGGTAAAAGATGAAGGGGAAAACATAAGCAAATAAATTCAAATAAGAGTAAAATTTTATAATGAAGATGGCATATCCTAAACTAAGGAATAAAATTTATTTAACTTCATGCTCCTGAAATTTAAATGAATAAGTAAGTATATATATATGTGTGTATATATATGTAAGTATATATATACATATGACATATATACCAGTATATAGGGGTCAAACCACCTTCACCATTGTGGGCAACCTCAAACATCATCACATAGGCATCTGATATACCAGGCTTCCCCCAAAACAGATTAGGGATACATGCATGCCATCAAATTGAAATGTAGGCATTTTTGCTTACTCAATGTGTTTATCTCATCGGTAGTTTACATAATTTTTCTAAAATGCTATTCAATTTAAAATGGGGTTTCACCTGCCAAAACCTGCTAATGAGGTATTTTAAACATTTGATGATATTCATAATATTTGGTTTCAAAAATTAAAAACAAAACACCTATTTTGGTGATTTAACAGAGGTTCATAAGTTAGTGCGTCTACTTTTACCTATTATGTTGTTATATTTCCAGTGCAAAACTGATGTTTGGAATTTCAAGGTTGATGTCTTCAGGAATAGGTTATCCCTCAAACAATGAACATGATTTTTGAGAATGACCAAAGTAAAAGAAAAATGCCATAAATCCAGGAATGTGTTCACAAAGGGAAGAAGTGCCTTCTCTATCTCTGAGTCCTGGGCGTTCACAGCAAGCCACGCACTGCGGGAGACTTCTGTTTGTTTGTTTTAAAATTTTACAGAAACTTTGGGAGGCTGGAAAGGTGGAGACAGGGAAGGTATATCTGCTTTGACGCTGAGCCTGGAGTATATAGAATTTGGTTTTACCTTTTCTGTGGTTACAGTGATGTTTTTCCTAAAGATAATTGTTTCCTCTCAGGGAGGGGCTTATGCCCACACTTAGAATGAATTAATGTGAGAATGCTTTCAGCAGTCATCACCTTGGAGAACTTCAAAGAGTGAAGGTCAGGTCTGAAATCAGCTGTCTGCTAGAAGTCAGAAAAAGAAATACGTAACTTTCCCTAAGAATTTACAGAAACGCTTGGATAGGACAACCTGCTTTCAAAAGAAAGAACGGGAAATCCCACTGCAGCCGTTGCCATCACCACGATGCTGAAAGGAAAGAAGCAGAATCAGCAGGGGCAGCCCGGCCACTGCAGCCCCCATCTCCAGAGGGGAAGAGACCCCAGACAGGATGGGGGGCTCACTGCTCTTCCCAGAGGCCCTCTAGGACCAAGGGGACCCATGATTGCACCAGTGGGGAGTCTCCCATTTCCTCCTTAGGGTAGAGGCCCAATTCAAGGAGGCTTAGGTCCCTGGTCTGGCCCATATGGTCATGGTTGGTGGGGGAGTCAGTGCTGAACCTCCTTCCTGGACCAGGCCAAGGGGGTCCCTCCAGGGGAGGCCTTCACAAAGAACAGAGACACCCTTGAACACTCACAACTGGCCCCTTAACAAGAATGCCTGCCGGCCCAAGGATGGACCCCAGGTTATGGAAGACAGATCCCACCACCCTCTCTGCCAACAGTGCCAAAAAGGGCCATTGTTGATATGAAGACCTCTGTGCCTTCTGCCACCCAGGCATCAGTGGACCTCTGTGAGACTGTGCCTTCCCACCAGCCTGGAAGGGGCCCTCTATGGCCAACAGCCATTTATTTCCCTGTCCCTTGTGATGGCTACTGTGCGGCTGTTCCACCCCTGACCTCAGTCACTGACACCCGCCCCTAGAGTTGTGTTTCATCACTGGTGCCCTTTCTTCTGATCCAGCCTCCAGAGCCTTGCCTCAGGACCCCATCTTTGCTCCCTTCAGCTGCTTCCTGGATCTTCCTCTCTCTCACCAGAGTCACTTCCTGAAAGGCCAGTCTCCCTGCTCTTGGACTCCGTAGTTTCTGCCTCAGTAGCACGATCCCCACTGCCGTGGTCTGTGATCGCTGTGTCTTGTGAGACTCTGCATCCCCTCATAGCTTTCTTTTCTCAGCGTCCTTGGCATTTTGTGACTTCTCAACACTAGAGGAAGTTTTTCTGTCAAAATGAGTGAGGCTGGGCTTCCCTGGTGGCGCAGTGGTTGAGAGTCCGCTGCTGATGCAGGGGACGCGGGTTCGTGCCCCGGTCCAGGAGGATCCCACGTGCCGCGGAGCGGCTGGGCCCGTGAGCCATGGCCGCTGAGCCTGCGCGTCCAGAACCTGTGCTCCGCAACGGGAGAGGCCACGACAGTGAGAGGCCCACGTACCGCAAAAGAAAAAAAAATGAGTGAGGCTCTTGGTGCCTTCTAGACTTTCCCCACCTCCCGACACGTGAAACTTTCCACAACTTTCCCTGGCCTCGTCATCCTTCTCCTGGAGTCAGTTATCGTGGGTAGGACACAGCCGCTGAGATGTTTTATAAAGCCTCTGAGGGGCCTTCTGTAGTTCCTTTCCAGTCCATTTTAGTTAGACTATGTCACTGTGAGGCCATCAGCCCTTTTGTTTGAATTTTGTGCCTTTCCACCTGGCCCGCCTTTGGTGGAACCTGGATAGTACTGTCGCCCTCTTCCCACTCTCTGCCTCTGCATCCTGGCGTTGGTTGTTTTCTGTGAAAACACCAGTGAACAGGTCCAGTATTTTTTCAAAAATACGGAACGCTTCACGAATTTGCGTATCATCCTTGCGCAGGGACCACGCTAATCTTCTCTGTATCATTCCAGTTTTAGTACATGTGCTGCCGAAGCAAGCACCAGGTCCAGTTTTGAACTGACCCTGAGGAAATAGGTCAGGAGCTGTGTGGGGAAGAGGGAGGGATGAGAACCACTGGAGAACTAAGAATAATTTGTTTTTTCATTTTAACATTTTTTTATATTGGTAGTAAATGCAGTGG